GATAGAATACTATTGTGCTATAAGAAATGATGAACAGGTAGACTTCAGAAAAATTTGGAAAGACTTGTGTAGTCTGATGCTGAGTGAAGTGAGCAGAACCAGGAGAACATTGTACACAGTAACAGCCACACTGTGCGATGACTAACTTTGATAGACTTGGCTCTTCTCAGCAATGCAAGGATCTAAGACAACCCCAAAAGTCTCATGATGGAAAATGCTGTCCACATCCAGAGAAAGAACTATGGAGTCTGAATGCAGATGGAAGCAGACTATTTTCACTTGTTTTGTACTTTGGGGTTATTTTTGTGGTTTTTCCCTTTTGTTTCTCCTTTCACAACATGACTAATGTGGAAATATATGAGTGCACATGCATAACCTACATCAAATTGCTTGTTGTATTGAGGAGGGGGGATGAGAGGGAGGGAGGAAGAAAAAAATTGAAACTCAAAATCTTATTTAAAAAATGAATGTTGAAAACTATCTTTATATGTAATCGTAAAAAAATAAAATATTATTTACAAAAAAAAATTTTGAATCTGAACTTAACAGAGATCAAATAACATGCAACTTTCTAAATTCACAATAGAACAGAAAAAGAGGCTTGTGCAGAAAACTGCATGTACCCCTTGCTTTTCTTTTTAAATGTAATAAATGTGACTTGTAACTTTCAAAAGATAAATAAATAAATAGAGCACCAGAATTGTAGCTAGAAAGAGCCAGGGTCAAATCCTGCTTCGATACTTAGGAACGAGGTGACCCTGGGCAAGTCACAGAGCCTGTTGGCCTCAGTTTCCCGGTCTTTAAAATAATGGAGTTAGCGTCAGTGGCCTCTAAGGTCTCTTCCCATTCTAAATCTCTGGTCTCAGAGGCCTGTCCAGAGGCTGGGAAAAGGCACAAGGTCCCACAGTGAGCCAGAGTCTGAGCAGAGCCGGCGGCTTGCCCGAGCACTTTCCTGAGCACTGCCCCTCAAGGGATGTGCTCCCAGCCATACTCTCAGGGGGCCCTTTGTAGGAGGGGAGCCAGATCTCGAAGGGCCATTAAAACGCCTTATTCTCTTCCTGGCCAGACAGCAGCTTGTGGCCTCCAGGGAGAGGGTGAGACGCTCTGCTGAGGTCTAGGGGCTGCAAGAGATCGTAGAGATGGAGCATCTCGGAGCTGAGGCCCAGAAAGGGAAGGTACTAGTAGCACCTGTGCACCTCCCAGGGGTGCAGTGAGGACCAAAGGGGAATGGGGCAGTGTGGTGTAATAGCTAGAGCCCCATCCACTTTCCCCTCAGCCTCCCCCCACTGAGGCTGCTCCAAGCCCTGGAGTGGAGGGAGTAGAGGTTCAGAAAACAATGGGCCTGGGAGGGGCCTTCCGGAGGGCTTAGTCTCTGCAGCGGCTGCTCCTTCCCCCCCCCCAGTCTCCTTCTGGCAGCTGGCTCCTCCCAGCCCCCCCCAATCCCCCTGGGATGCTGCCACCCCAAGCCTGTTATCACGGCCCCTTAGTCACCGCTCCAGCTGCCCAAATATAGATCCTGTGAGCCGTTCCCCTTCCCCCAGCCTGAGGCCCCAGTCTGCCTCCAAGACCAGCCTAGCCTGCCCCAGATCTCCCTCAGGCCAGGGCCCTTCCAGGGGAGGCCTCTGGGCCCCCACTCAGGTTTCCAGCTCAAGCCGTTTGGCTGAGAGGTCGGCTTCCAGATACCGAGAACCTACCAGTTCTCTTCACTCTCATGTCCAGAGCCCATCCCAGAAGGACCCACTCTTCTCATGACAGCTAGCGTGCATATAGTCATCCCATTTTACAGGTGGGGAAACTGAGGCCCAGAGGGGAAGTGACTTGGTGGCATCATCACAGATTTGGAGCCGGAAGACCTCAGTCAGTCCAATCCCCTCATTTTACAGATAAGACTCAAACTCAGGGAGTTAAAGGGCTTAGCCTAGGGTCACACAGCAGGCCAGTGACAGGGGCAAGATTTGAACCCAGGTCCTCATAGTCAAGATCCAGCTTTCTTTTTACTGAACCACTCCATCTCTTGGAGTCATTCCTTCATTTGTTTAGCTAATAATCTACTGAGTGCCTACTAAGTACTTTGTGGGGAAATGGGAATGTTATAGAAGACCAAGTCCCCCTCCTCATGGGACCCATCGAGTCAGAGGATCATGAAAGCATAGACTTAGAGGTGAAAGGGGACTCAGAGGCCATCTTGTCTACCCTCCCCCTCATTTTACAGAGGAAGAAACTGAGGCACGGAGAGGTTAAATGACCAGCCCAAAGTCCCATAGGGAATAAGTAGGAGTCAGGATTTAAACTCAGGGCTTCTGAGTCCCAGTGTGGCATACTTACCACTCTATCATTCTGAGGTAGTAGGAGGCTCTCCCACCTTATAGGGCAGGTCTCCTCGGCTAGTGACGTCTGCTGAGGCTGAAAGTACTCTGGGGGTTCATAGCTCACAAGCCCCCATAAGTGTGCTTACTTACCTTTAGTAGCCACAGGACACAATTAGTTCATAGCAAAGGTATTTAATAAATGGCATAATAAAAAGTGTTGCAATACAGCATCTGCCCCATGAACCCGGGACACACTCTCCTGTAAATCCACGCTCCATCAGTGGATCAGTCAGTTGATAAGCGGTTGTTAAGCACCTACTATGTGCTGGCAACAACATGTACACAGGAAACACGTGACCAGGATACATATGTGGAGGGTCAGCTCATGCTTACAACACTGCACTCTTCTAGTGACGTCACCACACTGCTTCTACCAGGCTCACTCACCCATAGGCTCTCTTGGGCATGTGGTCTCTGCTGGACACTGTTTGCCTAAAGGCTGGAATGTTCTTTCAGCTCTTTTTGGAAAGCACCTGCCCTTGCCTTAGCCACATGACCAGCAACAGAAAAAAAAGAAAACTAATTTTGTTGTTTGTTTCTTTTTCTTTTTGGAGAAGCCTGTCTTATTTCTTTCCAGAGTCTTGGTTAGCAAAAAAAAAAAAATCTATCATCCAGCCAGACCTTTTTTGTTCCCAAGTTCAGGACCTAGAACAGGGTTTCCTCCTAGTTAGCTGATATGATAGATATCAATCTTTTCTTTGGACTCAAACATCTTGGTCCAAGGGTGTGGATCTCCCTCTTGGAGACATCATTTGACTCCTGGTGAGTATACTTCATGCTTCCAAGTTTTTGCCCCTGAAGCCTAGGTTACATTTGGTCATTATACACATTAAAGGTATTTGCCCCCAAACTAGCAAACATCTCTGGGGCTTGGGGCCCCCCAATTTTTCAACTTAAACCCCTCCCACTGTCCAGTGTAGGCAGGTAGGAGAGACAATGACCTTGCTCTGCCTGGGGCCAAGGTCATTGTCTCTCCTACCTGCCTAGTCACATTCCAGCCAAGGCCAAAAGGGGCTTTGAGATCACAGTTATAATACAGCCAACTTAAATAAGGGCCTACTATGTGCCAGGTAGGGGCAGCTAGTTGGCACAGTGGATAGAGCATCAGGCCTGCAATCAGGAAGACTCATCTTCCTGAGTTCAAATCCAGCCTCAGATGCTTCCTAGCCATGTGACCCTGAGCAAGTCACTTAACCCTGTCTGCCTCAGTTTCCTCATTGTAAAATGAGCCAGAGAAGGAAATGGCAAACCACTCCAGTGTCTCTGCCAAGAAAACCCCAAATAAGGTCACAAAGAGTCAGACACGACTGAAACAACTGCACAACTACAATATTGTGCCAGGTACTGTGTGAAGTGCTGAGGAGGAAAGGAGAAAAAAAATAAGCAGTCTCTGCCCTCGAAGAGTTCACATTCTATAGGGGTAGAGCAGAGGATAAAAGGAACACCGAATAATCGATACAGACTCCATACAAAATACAGTTTCCCGGAGGGATGTCGCTGGTGACAGGGGAGATCATAAGTTCTCATGCCCTGTTGTTAGGAGAATATTTTTAGTGGGCTATTTAAAAATAATGACAACCAAAACTTACAATAGGAGCTCACAACAAAACAATCAGACACAGAAATAGCTCGTTTCATGGGAGCTGGAATTGAATGTTCACAAAGTGCAGGTGGGGCGGAGGGTGTCTCTTTTTTGTAAATATTTCTTTCATTCGTATTGATAGCGTTTGTTTTTATATCACTTTCATTTCCCAAGGTGTCTCTCCCCTTCTCCCACCCAAAGAGCCATCCCTTTGAACAAAAAAAAAGAAGAGAAAAAGAAACAGTGTAGCAAAATGAAGCATCATCCAATCAAGTCTGGCATTATATGTAGCATTCCACACCCATAGTGTCTCATCTCCTCTAAGAAGGCAGAGAGGTGCATTCTACCATGTCTCTTGGTCATCAAAATGACATAGCTTTTGATTTTGACTTTCTTTCTTTTTCGTTCCCTCCTTTCATACTGTGGTCATTGTATATACTCTTCTCCCTGTTCTGCTTATTTTCCTTGGCACTAGTGCATAGAATTCTCCCTAAGCTTCTCAGAATTCCCCACACTGATCATGCAGAGTAACATTCTATCACATTCATGTATCACAGTTTCTTTAACCGTTCCCTAATCGGTAGGCACCTATGTATTTTGTTTCTAGTTCTTTGCTATCACAAATAAATGCTGCTACAAGTATCTTGGTGTATGTTGGTCAGCGACCTTCTTGGTAAGTGCCTCGAAGTGGGATGTATGAGCAGAAAGTTCCAGGCATTTTAGTCACTTTCATGGCATAATCTCCGTTTCTTTCTAGAACATCTAAACCAATTCACAGCTATGCCAGCAAGGCATTAGTATGTCTGTCTTTCCACAGTCCCTCCAACGCTGACCATTCCCACTTTGATCATCTGTGCTAATATTGCTGAGTAAAATGAAACCTTGGGATTGTTGCAATTTTCATTTACCTTATTATTGCGGTTTTTCTCAATCTTTTTTTTTTTTAGAAACCAAGAAGCATTTGTTAAGCATTTGCTATGTGCCCTCCACTTTACTAAGCACAGGTGATACAAAGAAAGAAGCAAAAACAGTCTATGACCACGAGGAACTTTAATTATTTTAAATTAGAAAAATAGACTTTTAAGGTTATCATTTATTTTTACATTGCCTACATTTTCCCCTCTGTCCTCTCTCCTCCAGATAACTTATTCCTTACAACATAGAATTTTTTTTCTTTTAAAGAGGAAAAGAAAAAAAAACAGCCAAACTGACTGTCTCCAAAGGGGCAAGGGCAAGCATCTTCTCCTCTGTCTCCTTCCGGGCCAGCATGCCGTCATTTCACAACATCCCCTTTCAATCGTTCTGTGGTTCTTTGTTGCAGTCATTTTTTAATATACCATTTTCTTGCCTCTGTTGACTTCATTCTGTATCAGCTCAATATGTCTTTCTATGCTTCTTCAAATTCATTATATTGATAATTTCTTACAGCACAGTAACATTCCTTTACATGCATGTACCCAGGAGTTCCCTGGTAAATATTTAACAGCTGGCTCTTTTGGGTGGGGTTGGGGGAGTGGGAATGGGTGGGGGTAGAATTCACACACTTTTAAGTCTAATTTGCATTATTAAGATTTTAGCCATAACTTAAGCCTAGATAATCAATAAAACAATAGATCAAACCCTGATATGTAGCCTTTGCCAATTTCTCAGATGTGATTGCTCACATTGAAAATTTAACAAGAGGCTCCTGGAGAGCCAAGCTGGCTCCAAAACAGCCTTTTTTGTTCAGCCATTACCCAATCAATGAGCACTTTTATTTCCAGTTCTTTGCTACCACAAAAAGTTTGGCTACAAGTATTTTGGTGTCTCTGGGGTTTTTCATTTCATTAATGACCTCCTTGGGGTATGTGCCCAGCACTAGAATCTAGAGTCCAAAGGGTAGGCACGCTTTATTTGCATAATTCTAAATTCCTTTCCAAAATGTTTGGACCAATTCATAGCTCTATCAACAATGTACCAGTGCACCTAGTTTTCCACAGCCCCACCAACATTGATGATTCCCATTTTCATCATCTCCAATTTGTTGAACAGGGATAAAACCTTAGAACTGTTTCAGTTTATATGTCTCCTTTCATTAGTGATTTCGAGCAATTTTTAGTACTTTACAAGTCTTCTTGTGAGAACTATTTGCTTACATCCTTTGAGCAGCTATCCATTACTATTGGTCTCATATGTGAGTACCCTTTATATCTTGGATTGAAGACACTTTGCAGAGACTTTTGATGAAATGATCCAACCTCCACCCCCACCCCTATCAATTGCTTCCCTTTTTCTAGAAGAGGCCTCTTACAAGTTGGTATCTCAGCTGACCCTCGAAGGGGTCCATGGATTCTGAGGCAAAAGTAAGCAGGGTAGTGTATTTGGAGTGCAGAGGACAGGCTGTGTAAAGGTCCAGAAATGGGGGTGGAAGGTCATGCATTGTATGGGGAGTACTGGGCACCAACACTAACACAGTGTGTGCAGAGCAGACATGTGTGCTGAGCCTGGACGGGTCACCTAGAGCCAGACTGGGGAGGGATTCAGATTCAGATGGCGGGAGAGAGTGTACTTAAATCCAGAAGGAGACTCTGAAGTTCTGTGAGCAAGAGAAGGGCACAACCAGACTTGAACTGTAGGAACGTCAATTTGGCCCCTCTGTGGAGGACTGATTAGGGAGGAGAAAGAGGACTCGGGGGATCAATTCTGAGCTTAGAAGGTAGGGCATGTACTGGCATTTCCCAGTCGTGTCAACAAGTAAATTTAATTGTAACATGGGGGGGGCGGGGAATTCCCAGTGATGAAGCCTATCCCGAAGTAAAAGGGGAGGTGAGTGACTCCTACTACCTGGAGGAGAGAAGCAAAAACTAGCTTTCTACAGGCCACGGATACTGTGTATTGGCTGTTTGTTCAGGTGTGGGAGGGAGCAGATGGCCGAGCAGGTCTCTTCTTGGTCTGAGGTGCCACGATCCTCTGGGGATGACCTGAAAAGGGAAAGCTTTGCCATACACCAGGACACAGTGCTGGAGTGCAGGATGACAACAAAGTGCAAGTGGAGGCGTCAGAAGGTTATGTGAGGTCCGAGGGGGGAAGGTTGTTACCAACCGGAGAGGTCAGGGAGGCCTTCCTGGAGGAGGCAGCAGTGATGTTGGATCTGGGCTTTAAAAGATGGGTAAGGATTCAGGGGCAAAGGTGGCATTCCAAGTATGGGAAACTGCCTGAGCAAAGGATTGTCTATTCTGCCTGGAGGGTAGAGGGTATAAAGGGGAATAATAAAACTGACTGCTACCAGATACTGGAAAGCCTTGAATGACAACCAAAGGTTATTAGGTGAGGCCAAGGCAGGATTAGAACCCAAATCTTCAGGTGCTCAGTCCCCTGCCCTGCACAACAACCACCTCCCCTTTCCCCAGATGCCTACTTAGGTTTCCCAGCGGGAAGAATGGGCTCGCTGGGGGAGCTGGGAATGCAGGGCTGAGCCGCTAGAGGCTTGGGATTCTAAGAAGTGGATGTGAGGAGGGAAGGCACAGCAGGCATGGAGCACAGCCCGGGCAAAGTACAAGAGAGAGGAGATGAAACACCGAGTTCAGGGAACCACACTTAGGCCAGTGTGGGTGAAACAGAGCATGCACAAAGGATGACATACACGCTGGAAAGGGAGACTGGGGCCAATTTTAGAGGCTTTAAGAGCCCTTGAAGGAGTCTGTGCTGTGTCCTCTAGGTAATAGTGAGCCACTGAGATTCTTGAGGTAGTGGTTTGATATCTCTTTTTTAAAAATACATTTTTATTGATATCTTTTGTCTTTATATCCCCTATATTTCCCACTGTCCCCCTCCCTCCCCAGTCTTCCCATAGAGCCAGACTTTATTATAAAAAAAAAAAAGGAAGAAAAAAGTTCCTCAATACCCTTATCTTACTCTTACACCACCCCAGGGCTGATAAAGCTGATGGGCTCAGCCACTGTATCTTTGCTTCCACTTTAGGGGTGGCAATATTGTCTTGTGGTATATGAGAGCGGGCCCCCTGCCCTCTCCCTTACTGCTGCAATCCACTGAGTTTAGACAACTCTACCTCCAAAACATCTCTTGTATCTGTCCCCTTCTCTCTCATCACATGCTCACCATGCTAGCTCAAGTCCCTCCCAGCCCCAACATCCCGTTCTAAGGGCCCTCCCAGCTCTGACATTCCCTGTCCTAAGCTCCCTCCCAGCTCTGACATTCCCTGTCCCAAGCTCCCTCCCAGCTCTGGCATTCCCTGTTCTAAGCTCCCTCTGACTTTCCACATCCCTTCCTATTCAGCTCTCCCATCTGCTATGTTCTAAGGTCTTTTCCAGTTCTGACAGTCTGAGTCTGGAGTGAAGATACACACTGTGGTACAAAGGCAAAGGACCAAGGTCTGATCCTGGCTCTGACACTTACCACCTGTGTGCCTTGGGGAAAGTGACTCCATCTCCCCGGACCTTAGTTTCTTCATCTGTAAAATGGGGCATTTGGACAAGCTGAACAACAGGCCTTCAGTTCCAGGCTTGTTGACTGATGGGCTGCCAATCCCACGACCTTCAACATCCCCATCACGGGAGCCGGAGCAATCTGTGGAGCAGCTGGCAGGCCCTTCCCTTCAGCAGGCTCTCATTTGCATGCCATTTGCCTGGGAAATCAGGAAGGGCAGAATGCACAGGTGTGTGTGCCCATCCCCAGCCACCTGGCCTGGCCCAACCCAGCCCACAGGAGAGGTCAAAATTTGGGTTCTTTTTGGGGGGATATGCCCCCTGCCCTCTCCCCAGCTACTCCTAACTCCCCATCAGAACTTGATTTTACCCCTGTGCTTGGGCATGGCACCTCAGGCAGAGCTGCTAGTCCTCAAACACAGCACCAGATGGGCACTCACTTGGCCCTTGGGGTGGTGGAGGATGCGCTAACCCTCAACTTGTAGCCTGGAGATCTGCCATTGGCTGTCTGGGCGGCCTTGGGCACTTCGTCTCCCGGAGAGTCTCCCTTTCGTCCTGGGTCCCATGCTGGGTCCTACCTCCCAGGGTTACCGCCAGGAGCCTGCTTTTAAGGGTGATGTAAGGCCTGTCACTATCACCAGCTAATCCAGCCCTCCTCTTTTTATGGGGGAAGAAAGCTGAGGCAGAAACAGGTGGAGAGAGTCCAAGGTCACAGACAACCTTTCAGTTTTTGAGCACCAAGGGAGGGGAGGGCAGGGGACTCGGTACCTGGAAGGTGGGGAAGGGAGAGGGGAGACCCAAGAGAAGGAAGAGGAGGTGGGAAGAGAAACTTTGCTGACTTGTGCAAGACTGGGAACTGGAAAGGACCGTGGAAGCTATAAAGTCACTCATTATGCAGATGAGGAAACTGAGGCACAGCAGGAAAGAAGCGGCTGAGCTACAATTGGAACCCAGATCTTTGAACTCCAGCAGTCTTGCTGGGCTGAGCCTTATTTCCTGACCACTGTTTGGGGCAGGGGGCAGGGAGAGGAGAAGTCCTTTGAGACCCTGTCCAACACCCTGACAGTTCCCTGAGGGACAATTGTCCATCATGAACCCTTCAAGAATGGGGGAGACCTGGGCTGGCGAGGGCTGCTGGGGTGAGGTGTCTAGAAGGACACTGAATACTTCTGAGGGCAGAGTACCCCAACACACTTCACTGGGCTCCTAGGGGTGGCTGAGCAGGCTCTGCCTCCCTGGCCCCATAGCCTGGAGGTAGGCATTCTACCCCCTCTTCTCCCCGGCTCATAGCCAACTGTACTCCCCACCCCTACCCCTTCCTGGCCTCCTGCAGCTCAGCTCCTACTCAGAGACTCAGGGGACTGTCTCAGAGCAGCTCCATGGTAGCAGACAGGACTCAGCTGCCTCTCCCAACATTAACCTCTGGGCACCTTCGTCTGCATCTCCACAACAGCAGCCCAGAAGCACTTTACCACAGCAGGTCCCTCCAAAAGCAAGGGCAGGCCCAGACCCAGTGTGAGGTTCTGGGGGTGATGCTCTGGGCTGGCCTAGCTCCTATCCCACAAGTATCCTCAACACTATTGCAACCTTTGGGCTAACAATGAATGAGGGACCCTTCTCTAGGCCTCATTCTGCCCCTGCCTGCTTTGTCCAGAGTGAAGCTGTACCTTCTTCCTACTCCTTCCTTGGTCCTGGCAATAGTCTGGAATTGACACCACCCCATGACCTTAATCAACCTTCAAGTAAGTAATGAACATTTAGTAAGCATCTACCTTGTGCCAGGTATCCTGGGGGGGGGCCTCAAAAGACCAAGAGGAAATAGGACCTGCCCTCAAGGAGCTTGCATTCCACAGGGGAGAAACAGCATGCACATAAGCATTTACAAAACAACACATTCACCGTAATGGGAGGTGCAGACAAGCGCTAAGGGAAAGGCCTCCAGAATAAGGGGGCATCGAAAGTGAGTCCTAAAGGAAGGCAGGAATTCCAAGAGGGGAAATTGAGGAGACAAAGCATTGCAGGCATCAGGGAGAGCCAGCACTGGAGCCTGGAGAGGAGAAATGGGTCACTTTGGTGAGGAACAAGAAGAAGGCCAGTGCAGCTGGACCGTCATCACCACTACAGTCAGAGCACCAGAGCTACTGCTCTGTATACTCAGCATCCTCATCATCATCTTTACCATTCTCACCAGTCTCAGCCTCCTTGCCATCCCCACCATCCCCACCATCCCCGCCATCCCCGCCATCCCCGCCATCCCCGCCATCCCCGCCATCCCCACCATCCTCACCATCCTCACCATCTCCACTATCCTCACCATCTCCATCCATGCCAGCAGAATGCCATGCTGGCCCATGGTACTCAGTACAAAGAGAATCCTGAAGCCTCAGTCTCTTCTCCCAGAAGCCACAATCCAAAACAGACACTGACTCCAGCACATGTACAAGAGACGGGGCCAAAAGAAGAGAGCCCTTCTGCAGCCTTTCTGCGCCCTAGAGGGTAGAGGCGTCATTGTGTTTGGGGGGAGGGTGCGGCCAGGGAGAACTTGGGCAAAGGGAGGATTACTGGACTGGGAAGAGCACATTCTGGATTTGGAGTCAGAGGCCATGGGTTCAAATTCCTGCCTTCTTATTTTCAGGGTAACCTTAGCTAAGGCAGTTCTCTCTGGGTCTCTGCTACTCGTTTGGGTACATGACGGGGTGGAGGTGCAGGAAGGGGAGGAAGAATGGTCTTACTCTAGCTTTTGAGGTCCCCTCCAGGCCCAAGTCTATGATTCCCCAAAGAGTGGGAGCTCTCTGTCTAAACGGAGAGGAGGAACAGCCCCAAGCTTTTCTCTTCGAAGACTGCTGGGAGGTGGGAGGAGAACCAGCTGGGTGAATGTCTGGCAGGGGTCTTAGCCCTGGCTGGAAGAAAACAGTCTGTCCTTCCAATCTCTGACCTCCAGGGATCTGCTGAACCTGTTTCAGACTCCTGGGATCCATTCCAGGTGTCCCCTTTCTCAAGTTGCTTTTTCTCCCCCTCAACCCCACCTCTCTTTGGAACAAAGATCATTGACTGTCTCCTCCCCAGAAACTCCATTTGCTCTGCCTCCGACTAGGGCTTGCTTGGGTCCGAGGCCAAAGAGCTGCTGGCTCCCCAGTCTTCCCTGTGAAACAGCTCGGGCTCCCTCCATCCATTGTCCTGGCTGAATGAACAGAGCTCACTCTTGCTGGACATACCTTGAGTCCTAGTCCGGGCTTTGTGACTAAATAAGTCTATGACCTTGAACTGCTCCTTCCCCCTCTCCCTCTGGGCCTGCTCCTTCCTCTGTAAAATGAGAGGGCTTGGCCTCAAGTCTCTGAGGTCCCTTCCCATCTGAACATTCTGCGTCTACCCTTGACTCCCTAGATGTCTATTCCCCCAGGGCAGAAGGCTTCTCAGAAGAGGACTCTGAGAAAAGATCTAGAGACATGACAGTAGGCAGGTCTGAAGGGGAGGAGGGGAGAAATGACTGGGCTCTCAGGGGGCCAGGGTGAGGGACAAGGGGAGGGGCTTGGATAAGGTGACTAGGGCAGGCTGAGTCCAGCAAGTCCTGGGGGATGGAGAGAGACAGAGCTGAGACTGGGGAGAGAGGAGAAAGCACCAGGATCTGGTGACAGTCTGAAAATGGGGCGAGGGGGGGTGCATGGGAGGGAGGAGCTCAGAAGGAACAGAGCAGAGCTGGCCATGGAGAAAGTCAGAAGGACAAGGAGTTAGTCAGAGGAGAAGGAGAAGATGGTCTGGGGACGCCAGCAAGACTCACAGCCTCTGACTCTCTCAGGGAAAACCAGGGCCCAGAAGGGGAGAAAATGATGCTGTGGGACAAGTGGCCTTTCTGCAAGTTACAGAAATCTTTAGAGCATAGAATGTTGACCCAGAAGGGATCTCAGACCCTAGAATGCTGGGAAGAAAAGGGATTTTACAAAGGATGTAGTACTGTTGATTTGGAGCTAGAAGAGACCATAGAGACCAGTTAGTGCAATCCTTCCCATTTTACAGATAAGGAAATTGAGACCCCAAGAAGTAAATTAGATTACCCAAAGTCTTAGAAATTTGAATCCAGCCAGGAAGGGGCCTTAGAACACTATCAGAGCTTGAAGGGGCCCTAGAACAGAGTATGTCGCATCTGCTAGGGTCCTTAGTTATTCAAAGGCTTCATTTCACAGATGAGAAAACTCACTTCCAGAGAGGTCAAAGGAGTTCCCCAGTGGAGTCCTTAGTAGGGCTGGGGCTTAAAACTCCCCTCCTCTGACCTGGAACCCTGGAGATCCCCCTTTCATCCATCTCCAGACGCCCCCTCCTATCAAATATCCCCCTGGACAAGAGTGAGGGTCCAAGGCATTGAACCCAGGTTCAGCAGGCCCCGGATTCCCTCCTGCCTTGGGCCAGGTCAGGCCTGAGGCTTGGATTACATTAGGGGCAGGCTAACCTGTTTCCTCCTAGGATCCTAGTCAGCCCCTTGCGCACCCGATGATCCAGCGTGCCTGTCCCAAAGGGGCCCCTGCATCCTCTTGAGTGGACGAAGGTCTCCTCCACCCCATCCGGGCAGGGCTCCCCTAGTCCCCACCCCCACCCCACTCTTCCACCTGCTGACACCCTTGCCCCTCCCCACCGGCCCGTGGCCCAGACGGACGCACCGATAAGGCATAGGGGCCCTGCGCCTTTAAATCCTCAGCAGGTTAGGGCGGTGAGTGACATCACTGGAAGCCTCCCGGGGAGCCGGGGAGCCGGGGCCGGCCGAGCTGAGCCACAGGAGCCAGCGGAGCCCGAGCCGAGCCGGGAGCCGGGAGCCGGGAGCCGGGGGCCGGGGGCCGGGAGCCGGGAGCCGGGAGCCGGGGGCCGGGGGCCGGGGGCCAGGAGCCGATCGCGAGCACCCATGGAGCAGCAGCGGCAGCAGCGGGGAAGCGGCGGGGGCCCCCTGAGGCCCGGCTATCCAGCCCCTCCCCAGGCCGCCCCGCAGCCCGGCGGCCTGGCCAAGGTAAACCCCTATCCCTGTCCTCCCCGCCCCCCGGGGCCGCACACCCTGAGCCCCTGCGGGCACCACCTGCCCGCACCTGCCCCCAGGGCCGGAAAATCGATTCCGGCGCCCCAGGGCAGCACAGCGACTGGAGAGTGCGGAGGCTGGCTGCGCTGTACTGAAAGGCGGGGCTTCGCTGGGTTGGGACCCCCTTCCCAACACACACACACACACACACCTGGGGAACTCGGAGCCCAGCCATCTCCCCCTCCCTCTTAGAGGGGTTTGGCCAAGGTGGGTGGTCCCTGGTTGGAGTAAAGAGGCCCCACACTCCACCTAGGTCCTGCCACCCCCCCCCCAGGGTTTTCTTGGAGGGGGGAGGCGGGGGTAGCTTCCCTCCAGCAGTGTTCCCTAGCTGGAGAGGTGGGGCGCAGCCCCCCCAACCCTCCCAATTGGGACATCTCCCTCTATCTACACCTTGGGGTGGGGGATGTCTTCTGAGTCCTGCAACCCAGCCCCCCACGAGGGATGCCTGGTTGGGGGAGAGAGGCTTCTCGGAGTCAGGGAGCCTCTCTCAAGCACTTGGTTACTTGACCCCAGAAGAACATGAGGGGCAGAGTGGGATTGGGACCTCCGAGGTCAGTTGCCCTTCCCCAACCTGGGGACCCCAGAGTTCCACTACCCTTCCCTGAAAAGGGGTACAGAGTAGGTGGGTGGGGAGCAAGCTCCCTTTGAGGCTTGGCCCCAGAAGGCATGAGGGGCAGTCTTGTGGGGGGGTGTTGCCAGAGAGGAGTAGGGTGGGAGGGGAGAAGATGTGCAAGCCTCCTTCAAGGACTGTGCAGGTTCACCAGGCTGAGAGGCCAGCCATCAAGTCATATGTCTGAGATGGAATGGGGCTGGAGGAGGAGGCAGAGACACCTCAGGGAGTCAAGTCCATATACACACACATCCCATTATATCCAAGGACAGCTTCACCCTGGCTTCTGGCAAACGGGGGCATCATTGGCAGCAGCTGCAGAGACAGCACCAAAAATCAGGCTCCCAGGGCTCCTCACCTTCCTAGATCCTGGCAGTTTGGGGCCCTCAGGACAGGAAGGCTAGGCTGGGGGGAGGGGGAGGACACACTGGCCAAGAAAGTGTTGGGGGGAGGGCTGTCAGATCGAAGTCCTGGGGTCTAGGAGGCAGCAGGCTCTCCGCTCTCTGCTGGCTGCTGTCCAAGGGGCAAGGAGGGAAGAATGGAGCAAAGTAGGGGAAATGAAGGGCAGGGGCAGGGTGCGGAGAGAGGTGTGGGGTCAGTAGGGGACACTGGGGCAGGGTGGGGTGGGGGTCAAGGAAAGCAGAAGAGGTTGGCCTCTAGGAAGAGATCAGAACAGCAGGATCCTTAGAACATCAGAGCCAGGAGGGACCTTGGCTCTCAGTTAGCCATCTCCTAGCTTTAGAGCCAGGAGAGACCTTAGGGGCCATCTGTCCAACCTCTTCATTTTCTAGCTGAGGAAGGAAATTGAGGTCCAGGAAAGTTGAAGAGTTTGCCCTGAGTCCCATGAATAGGAAGAGGCCAAGTCTGGATATGAACCCAGGTCCTCTGACTCCGGTCAGCATCCTTTCTACTTCAGGAAAGGATCGAAGCCTTTGAAGGCATTGTAGAGGTCATCTTGTTCAACCCCCTTAGTTAGCCAAAGAGGAAACAGACCCAAAGAGAGGCAGTGACTTGCCCTGTGAGTTCGTGGTATGCCCAGCAGGAATTTAGGGCTGATTTCCAAATGTTCTCCTTCCTAGGCCTGGGATCTTTCTCACGTCCTGAGGTGAAAGGGAACAGGAGTCCAGGCAGGAGGCGGCAAGGGAGGGGAATCAGGAGGACTTCAGGAGGCATGGGTGCAGGGGATGGCCAGGACCTGCCCGGTCCCTTTTGTTCCCCACCTTGGCTTCTCCATGGCTGTTTCAATTTTCTTCCTTAGCCCCAGGTCACGAGAACCTCTCTGCCCAAGTGTTCTGAGATCAACAAAGTCTCAGGGTTCCAAGAATCCAATGACGCCAGGGTTCCTAGAACCCCGAAGTCCTGAAAGCCCTAAGTTCTATAAGGTCTTAGGTCCTGGGGTTCCATGTCTGTTGGATGGTAGAGAAGTGGGAAAGGAGGGCTGAGCCCAAAGTGCAAACTGACCCCAAGCTGGTCACCCTGGGATGGGAACAGGGCCAAAGACTCCCTGGGGTGGGACCCTGGTCAGTCACCCTCCCATTGGGCCCTTTCCTAAGTAGAAGAGATGGGGCTGCTGTCTTGGCTTGGGAGACTGGCACCCTAAAGTTCTCCTCTGACTGCAGGGTACAAGGGGTGGGTGGCAGGCTCTCTCCTCCCCATCCGGAGCCTCCCACCTGCCCTTCCCTGGTAAGTTAGAACTACCACCCACCAGAAGCCTCCCTGGGGGAGGAGGGCAGGAAGGAGGCAGGGAACCAGTCCCAGCCACCCACTCCCTCTTTCTCTAGTTCTCGTTGGGCTTGGGGGTGGGCACAGAGGCTGAAGTGAGCCAGTTGGGGAGTTGGGGGCTGATGGCACCAGGTGCTCGCACCTAAGTTCAGCTACCCTCCAGGGAGAAACGTTTAAGGGCTGCTTTGGGACTGGTTTGATTTGAGGGTCCCCCGCCTGGGGGAGTCTTACTATTTAAAACTGAAAGGGACTTGAGCAATCAGTCTGTGCGACAGGAAAGGTGGGCGGGTGTTCTCTAAGGCTCTTCCTCCTCTCTGCTCTATGACCTCCGATCTTTGGAGAGAGAAGCTCTTGTCCCCTCTCGGGGCTGGTAGACAAAGGCACGTCTGACTTGGGGTGAATGGGGGCCAGGGAGGGAAGGATTTGGTGAAGCAGCTGAGCTTGGACACTTCCCGAAAGCAAGGCAGTCTAGAATGAACTCACCTCAGAAGGGCCAGGTATCTCTGCCAGAAGCTGTGAAATATCGTTCTCGGAAGCTGGAGAAGGGGGAACAGGCTCATGGACAGGGAGATGGAATGGGTAGGCTCAGGGGCCACCTAGGCCACCACCCACTTTACAGAGGAGGAAACTGAGGCCCTTATGGTGACTTGCCCAAGGTCACTTGGGTAGTGAGAAATCTGTTCCGGATTCAAACCGACATCCCCTCTGTCTCTGAAGTCCCTGGTTCTTAGTGATTTGCTAGTCTGGAAGCAAGGGGCTAGGCGGAGTGTCAGTCTGCCTTAGGTTCCTTCCCACTTTGGGGATATCCCTCTAGCCTTTGGGACAGCTCTCTAATCACCACGCAGGAGCAGGCAGCCCCCCGGCCCGTGGGACAGAGACCAAGTCCGTCACCCAGGAAACTGAGTCCAAACCCACCAGCCCAGGAGCAGACGTCACCTTTGTCTTCCACCGTGGAGCAGAGACCAGCCGTGGCCCCCAGCTCAACTCCGGCAGCAGGGCCCTGGACCACCTCCGCAGGACCAAGG